TTGTAACTTCTTAGATTAATCTCAATTTATCTACTTAGGGGGTCAAATACAACCAAAATTAATTACATCTCTCCCAAAAAGAGTGCTAAATTAAAGATAAGAACATGTAATTTAGACACTTATAAAAAAGTTTCTTTGTTTGCACAAAGGAATGTTACAAATAGTAATATAAGGTTTTATTGTTGTTGTGTGAATTTTTTCAAATTGCAAAAGCATCCAATAAAGGTTATACAAGAGCATGTTTTGTGTAACGCCCACCCACTTGTTATACCAAATGGAAAAAGACTCAATAGAAGAAATCAACGCAATACACATTAGAGGAAATTCAAGTTGTAGTAGAAAGGATTGTAAGTATCACGCGCCCTAATGTTTGATGAATTACTAATCATGGCCTTATTAACATATTTATTTAAACTATTGCAATGTAGAATGAATTAGATGAGCAAGTCATGCATGGAACATTTGTTCTGGAGGAGCGTGAAGACATTTTGATGGTTGCCATTGGTCGTCTAAAACATTCGAGTCATGTTCGTACAATCAGATGAGGTAAAGGCATTCACATTGTCTTTGGACCTCCTTTTACCTAGGCATGTTAATAGACTACTTATTAGTGATGCCAACTAGGAATGCCTTAAAGTTGAAGTTCAATGAAAAATGTATCAAGACATAAAGGTGAAGCTATTGGATAACATCATAGCAAAGCTTGTATCGATGGGTGTGTTTACAAAGCCTTCACAAGCCCCTTCTCCTTTAGAGATCTCATATTTCCCTAGGCATGTTAGCACGAAGGGGAGTTATGTTACCCCTGAAGCATCGGGGGGAGGATGTTGCCAACAATATCCTATTAGATTTGGATTATATGTTGAAGGTCTCTTGGAGAAATTGGTGGCCACAGGTAAAATGCACATCTTCGGATCAACCATCCACCACCAGACAATTCTAGATGATGTGGTACAAGTGGAGGTTGTCAAATTTAGAGAGCACAATGCTTGAGTCCTTATGTCCACTATAGAGGTTTAGACAATTGGGAAAACCTTGGGGTACCTTTATTCTAAGACCCACATGACTAAGGTAATCAATATTTCAATTTACTTGATTTAAAATTAATGTCTTGTGTTTTATTAACTTATTAATTTGCATTCTATGATGTTTAGGTTGATTTTTGAAAGGGTAAAGAGGTTGCTACTACAAATACAACACCTCCTAAGCTTTCTTTTCTCCAATGCCTGGTTGTGGCAACACTAGATATTGAGAGGCATGAAATAGAGATAAACATGCCTCCCGAATTCATTGGTAGGAAGGAGTTTATCCTTTCCTTTTTATGTTAGTGTGATGTCATGGACATCATTTTTGGTGACAAACCTCCTTTCCATATTAGTGATGCAATTTTAAATATTGTAAGTATTGATTGTAAGGATTTTTATGCTCATGTATTCAATTACAACTTCCTAACATTAAGTTTATTTTTCATAACTTAAGGTATCTTCATCACATCTGCATCGAGATGCATAATGCATTTTATTGTAGATTCATTAAACTTGTTGTCATCCAAACTATTGGAAATAAATACATTGATATTATTGACTTGTAAGTATCTAATTTGAATATGTACATATTATTTTTTCTTATATAATTTCATTATAATAATTTTATTCTTTAATTATTTATGAATTATCATTAATTGCCACAATTCTTTGGATGCAAGTTTGAGGTTGTGGGAGCTTCCTTAGATAGCTCGAAAGAAACTTCAATATATTGTCCCAAGAGTAAGTTAAATGTCAATATAATAATTAATTACAAATTTAAATATATTTAAATTGTATAGTACCCACATCAATAAGGGAATCATGAGTGTTACATTATAAAACACATGATCATCATTAACTCTAGGAACATTTTTAGAGACTCATAGAGGAAAGTAATACATATATAAGTCGAGTTACTTCAATTGATGTTTTATTGTTTAGTCATTGATTGATGTTTAACTTATCTCTATTTTCAATTTGTAGGTATTCAATAATCCAACTTCATTCACCAATGAAGAATTGGATGAAATCCGTACTAGATGGAAGTTGTTCAAGGTTTATTTGATACAATCTTTTTTTACATTATTATAGTTATTTAACATTATTAAAGTACTTGTTTACTTTAGTTTGGTGTATACTTGTTTTTCTTTGGTAACTTTGTATTTATGAAGTTTAAATTGTTTAACATTCATTGTATATTATTAACATAGTTATCATATATTATTATAGTTCATGTGTTACTTTATAGAAATATTATATATTCAGTACTACAAGAAAAATGTAAATTATCGATGAATAATTTTCGACGGATACAAATCTGTCAAAAAATTGATATTTTCAACAAAAAAAAATCGTAGGAATAGTTATATTATTGACGGATAATTTCTGACAGATACAAATTTGTCAAAAAATTTATATTTCCTACGAATTTTACCGACGGATAATTTATTACAGATATAAATCTGTCAGAAAATTTATATTTTCGAAGGATACAAATTTGTTGGAAAATTTATATCCGACAAATATATCTGTCGATAATTTCCGATAGATATATCTGTCGATAATTTTTGACAGATACAAAATTTATATTTTCGATGAAAAAAATTCGTAGAAAAAATTACATTACCGATGGAATATTTCTGACGTTATATTTGTTGAAATTGTAAGAATTTTTTACGGAAATTTTTTACAGATGCTTAAGTCAAAATTTTTCGATGGAATGTTACTAACAGATAATGATTTGTCAAAAATTTGATCGGTCAAAAATGTTTAATAATCTATCAGAATTTACATTCATCGGAAATGTTTAATATTCCATCGGTAACAATAAAGATAATTAAAATTGACAATCATATATTAAAAAAGATCAATAAATTTATATATATATATATATATATATAGAGAGAGAGAGAGAGAGAGAGAGTAAGAGAGAGAAGAGAAGGAATCAAATGACTCACAAAATAACTCTTGGTAAAGTTATTCCGCTCAATAACTCATGGTGTATGTTGAATTTTATCGATCCAAAATTGTTAAATTAAAAGTTATTAAATTTTACGAATAATTAATTTAGAAAAAAATTGATTAGCTTTGGGATAAATTATTTACTAATATAGTTGAAAAATTAATTATTTTAAATTATTTTACTTGAAGCTTATTGACAATTTACTATATGATCTTGATATTTTTATATAACTAATATCTGGTTTTAAATTTGATATATGATATAATTAAATTAAATTTTAAATTATTCTTTTATTAATGGTTGATAATTAGAAAATAAAACAAGGATAAATACATTTTTTAAATTTTATATCTTACATTTAAGATAAATTAATATATTAAGTTAATTAATAATTTATTTAAAATGTTAAAATTTAATTTATAAGTATGTAATAAATAAATATTTATAATTTTATAAATTATATTAAT